TTTTTTTTTTTTTTTTTTTTGAGACGGAGTTTCACTCTTGTTACCCACGCTGGAGTGCAATGGCGCGATCTCAGCTCACCGCAACCTCCGCCTCCTGGGTTCAGGCAATTCTCCTGCCTCAGCCTCCTGAGTAGCTGGGATTACAGGCACGCGCCACCATGCCCAGCTAATTTTTTGTAGTTTTAGTAGAGACGGGGTTTCACCATGTTGACCAGGATGGTCTCGATCTCCTGACCTCGTGATCCACCCGCCTCGGCCTCCCAAAGTGCTGGGATTACAGGCTTGAGCCACCGCGCCCGGCCTTGACAGCAGGATTTCTAAGAGACATTTGCACACCCATGTTCATACCAGCACTATTCACAGTAGTCAAGAGATGAAAGCAACCCAAAGTTCATTGATGGATGAGAGGATCAACCAAATGTAGTATATACATAAATGGATTATTCTTCAGCCTTAAAAAGATAGGAAATTCTGACATAACTACATCGTTGAACCTTGAGGACATTATGTGAAGTCAAATAAGCCAATCACAAAAAGACAAACACTGTATGATTCCATTTAAATGAAATATCAAAAGTAATCAGCCAGGTGCAATAGCACACACCTATAATCCCAGCTGCTTGGGAGGCTGGGGTGGATCACTTGAGCCCAGGACTTTGAGTCTAGCTTGGGCAACAGAGCAAGACCCAATTTCTAAAAAAAAAAATTTTTTAATTCAAAGTGCTTATCATTAAAAAAAGAAAAAGGAATCAAATTCACAGAAACAGAAAGAAGAATGGTGGTTACCAGGGACTAGCAGGAGGGGAAAAGGGAAGGTGCTGTTTAATGGGTTAGACTTCCAGATTTTCAAGACGAAAAAGTTCTCGAGATCTATTTCACAACAATGTGAATACACTTAATACTACTGAACTGTACACTTACAAATGGTTAAATGGTAAATGTTGTGCTATTTTAAAATCACAATAAGTTTTAATATTTATAGGGCATCTGTTATATGGCATAGTCTTCTAAATGTTTTATTATACCTGATTCAAATCAAAGTTAAATCACAGGCCATAAAAGTCAATGGCATTTAATGAAAAACTTAAGTTATAAAGCTGTTGCCAGTTAAGACAAAATAAGCAAACGCCACCTTCTCTCTCCCACTAAAAATGCAGCTACAAAACCTGGAGAGAATACATAAGACAGGCATATGAGAAAAACCAATTGGCTCAAAAGAAAGTACCACTCAATGGACAGTGAGGTTAACACTGTCTCCCCTGGTCCTCCTGCTGCTTGGAGATTAAGTGTCTTGCAAGGAAGGATAATTAAAGCCCCAATTTTGTCATCAGAGGATCAAAAGGGAAAGAAAACCTAATGGAACAAGAAGGTGCTGCGGTGATCTCAGAGGGAGAAAAGCCAGAAAAGTTAACATCATGAAGTTGTTTATCAACTCCCAAGCTGGCTCCCAAGCTACACACATATGTATCTGGTCCAAATCATACTAAAGGCTTTGAGAACTGAAATCACCACCATCTAGATCTCAGACTGGCCTCTGAGTGTCACACACATGGGACAGATCCTAACAACACTGCAAAGACTTTTCAAAAATTCATCTGCCATTAGAATCATAGCCTAAGGAAAGAGAGTTGCAAATTGCAAATTTCCTAAAGCTAATTAGGAAGGTTGCCTACCAAGCCAAAAATTACCAATATTCCTCTTAGGATTTAAACAAGCCCTATCATCTTATAATATTCAAAATGTCTAGGATACAATCCAAAATTATTCAGCATTTGAAGTACTAGGAAAAAACTCAATCCAAAAAAAAAAAAAACAATTAACAGACACCAATGTTAAGATGCTACAGAAGTTGGAATTCTCTGACAAGGATTTTGAGGTAGCTATTATAAAAATGTTCCAACAAGCAATCACAAATGCTCTTGAAATAATGGAAAAACAAAGTCTCAGCTAAAAAACAGAAGATATTTCTTAAAGATCCACATAAGAATTTGAAGCTGTAAAGCAATAACCAGCATAGAAAGCTCTTCTAGCTTCCATAGAATCTAGTATTAAAAAAAAAAATTCTGAAAAAGAATAAAAAACTCACTGATGGGCTCAAGAGGGCAGAATGAAGTCAACAGAGAAATGAGTCAGTCACCCTGAAGACAGATTAGTACACATTACCCAATGTGAACGAGAGAGAGAGAGAGAAAAAAAAAAAAAAAAAAAGACTGAAAAAAGTCAAAATAAAGCCTCAGGGCCCTAAGGAAAATATCAAAAGGTCTAACACCCTGATCATGAGAAAGTACAACGCACAAACAAAAATAAATTTAAGAAATAAAGGCTGTAATGGCTGGCTGTGGTGGTTCACACCTGCAATCCCAGAACTTTGGGAGCCTGAGGTGAGCAAATTGCTTGAGCCCAGAAGTTCCAAGACCAGCCTGGACAACACGGCAAAACCCCACCTCTACTAAAAATACAAAAAGTTGCTGTGCACAGTGGTATGCACCTGTAGTCACAGCTAACTCAAGAGGCTGAGGTGGGAGGGATCACGTCAGCCTGGGAGGCAGAGGGTGAAGTGAGCTAAGATCATACCACTACACTCCAGCCTGGGCAACAGAGTGAGACCTCGTCGAAAGAAAGAAAGGAAGGAAAGGAGAAAAAGAAAGTAAGAAAGATGGAAGGATGGAAGGAAGGGAGAGAGGAAGGAAGGAAGGAAGATGGAAAGGGAGGAAGAAAGGAAGGAAACTTCCCAAATTTGGCTAAAGATATAAACCCCAAATTCAAGAAGTTCACAAACCCCCAAATATGATAAATCCAAAGAAATCCATGCCCAGACACATCATAGCTAAACTGGAAAAAACTAAAAGATATATAGTAAAAATCTCTAGAGTAACCAGATAGAAACCATGTATCACCTATAGAGGAACAACTCAAATGTCTGTAGACTGCTCATCAGAAACTATGGAGGAAGAAAGAAGTGGAACATCTTTTAAGTGCTGAAATATCTGCCTCTGTTTCCTCACTCAAGTCTCAGCTAAAACAGCACCTCCTCAGAAATCTTCCCCAGACACCTTACTTCCGCCCACATGCATCTACTGATATATCCTATTGTATTAATAGCCTTTATCTCTTTCTGAAGTTAAATTATTTGTTTACCTTTTTAGTATCCATCCCCCCCATACCAGAGAGCAGGGAACTGGTCTAATTCCTTGCTGTATTCCCAGCACCTAGGAGAAGGGACAGTTAAGTGCTCATAAATATTTTTAAATAAATTAATGGAGCAACAATTGTCATGGGCCTTGAAGGATAAGAATACACTAGACAAAGTAAAAGAAGAACAAAACAGAAAAAAAGGTACCTAAAAGACACACTTTAAAAAAGCATGACATGGCACATTTGGGAAACAGAGTAATTCCAAATGGTTAGAGTACAGGAAGCACAGAGTGAGTAATAAGAGAGGCCTAGAAAAAGACTGGAAAGCAGGGGAGTGACTGGATCCAATCTACATTTTAAAACATACACACAATGGGCCGGACACAGTGGCTCACACCTGTAATCCCAGCATTTTGGGAGGCCAAGGTGGGCGGATCACCTGAGGTCAGGAGTTCAAGACCAGCCTGAACAACACAGAGAGACCCCATCTCTACTAAAAATACAAAATTAGCTGGGCATGGTGCCACATTCCTGTAATCCCAGCTACTCGGGAGGCTAAGGCAAGAGAATCACTTGAACCTGGGAGGTTTCTGGGAGCCAAGATCAAGCCATTGCACTCCAGCCTGGGCAACAAGAGCAAAACTCCCTCTAAAACACACACACACACACACACACACACACAATGAGGTATTTATTCATATTCTGTCCCCTTCTGAAAAGGTTCCAAATACCTTTAATACCCAGTCGAGTTAAAAATGTCCATACCTCCATGACTGAGCAAGTTTCTCAAGCTGCTATTCAAATCTCATTAATCGGGCCTTGAATTAATTTAGTGAATAGTCTTACTGACATGGAAAATAGAAAATATCAATCTGTCACATATTGTAATAGTAAGTATTGTTTTGTAAAACGTTTGTTTCAATTGCACTGGAGTTAACATGCACTGAGTAAGGACATAAAATATATTCTGATCTAGACTACAGCAAGGGTCTGCGAACTACTTCCGTCCGCCCAAATCTAGCCCACCTCCCGCCTCCCAGTTTTTGGGAGATCTTACTATGTTGCCCAGGCTGGAGTGCAGTGGCACCACCATGGACCTCCCTGGCTCAAGTGATCCTTCTCCCTTGGCCTCCCAAAGTGCTAGGATTACAGGCATGAGCCACCACGCCTGACCCTCACCTCCCAGTTTTTGTAAGTAAAGTTTCACTGGAACCCTGCCATACCCAATTATTTACGTACTGCTTTTACCCTACATAAGTAGAGTTCAGCAGCTGAGATGAAGATTTTACTTATGTTTAAGGCTCTCATTAGATGGTGAGGTCCCAAGGACCAGTACACGAACACTAAATTCTGTATGCTCATCACCATGTTTGACACGTGGTAAGCCTTCCTTCTTGAACACTGGACCTACCTAATAGGAAGTTCTGTGCCAACTCAGGCAACCATAGGGACTGTTCCCTCTGCCTGGAATGCATTTCCCCTGACCCTTGCCATAACTTCTCAAGTCGCAGCTTAAGTGGGGTCTCCTTTAGGAAGTGTTCCCTGACCATCCTATCTAAAACAGGACTCCCCATTACTATTATATTTTGTCTTCTCCAAAGTAATCGTCGCAAGTTGTATTTACACTTTCATTTGCATGGTTGTGTTTAATCTGATTCCCTCGCTAACCTGTACTCTCCAGACAGGAAGTAACCAGGTCTACCCTGGTCACCCGTATTCTCAGAGCCCAGCACCGGGGCTGGCACACCGTAGGCGTTTGGTACCTTACGGAATGAAAGAGGTTCCGAAAGCCTGACTGAACTGGGACTCTAACTCACTGTGTGGTATTAAGTCCATTTCCTTTGCTGGGTCTCAGTTTCCCTATGGGGGAAGGTGTGTGTGTCCCTCAATTCCGAGCGACGGCCTCTAAAACGAGAAGGGGATGCCAAGGGGCGGGCATATATGCCCACAGGGGCGCCCCCGGAAAGAAAAGCCCGGGGCGGGGCCTCAATGGGAAGAGAATTCTGAGGGAGGGCGGGGGCCGCGGGGCCTCCGGGCATCGGCGTCATGCGGGGAGGAGCCTGCCGGGGAGGGTCTGACGGGCGTGGAGGCTGGGCCAAAAATGGTAAGTCCTCACCTGTCTGGTCCAGGCTCAAAGAGCCAAGGAGAAGGATGCCCCAGCCTGTTCCGTGCGCGCCTCCCCCTGCCCCGCCCCCGCCATGCCTCAGGACCCCGGCGCCCGCGGCTGCAGGTTCCCGTTTCCGCCAGCCACCGGAAGTGCGGCCCAGCAAGGAGGGAAGTAGGGGAGAGCGCGGCACTGTTCAGCCAACGCTGAGAGACGTGTACAGCGCCCCCTGGTGCCCGGAGGAGGGATCGAAGCCGTAGAGGCTCAGTGGCAGCGGAGGAAAAATTAACGTGGCACCTAACCTGAGCATCTCTGTCAGTTCCAATGGCAGTGTCTCTGCACCTGCAGGGCACATTTGAAACATATGAATAGAATTAATCTTTCACCTTTTGATTAGATGCTGAGAAACTACCTACTATGTTATCTTCTAGATAGTGAGCCCCGTGAAGACTGAAATTGTATTGATCATCTCTGACTAGCAAGGAATGTGCCTTGCTAGTTTTCAGATGGAGTGGATTTTTCAATGGTGTCACTCTGGCTCTCCTAGGCTCCTGTTTCCATATCAAAAAAGATCTTCAACATGATTAGTTATCAGAGAAATGCAAGTCAAAACCACAGTGAGATACTACTTCATACCCCTTAGGATGGCTAGAATACCTTTAAAAGAAAAACATCACATACTGGTAAGGATGTAGAGAAATCAAAAGCCTCATATGCTGCTTCTGGGAAGGGTGCAATTACTGTGGAAAACAGTTTAGCTGTTTCTCAAAGTTAAACTTGAAGTTACTATTCGACACAGAAATACCTCTAGGTATATAACCAAGAGAAATTAAAACGTGTCCACACAAAAACTTGGACACAAATGTTCATAGTGGTATTATTTATAATAGATAAAATATGTAAACAACCTAAGTGTCTGTCAGTAGATGGATGGATAAACAAAAGGCGGTATATTCATACAATAGAATATTATTCAGCATTAAAAGAGGAGGAAGTACTGATACTTGCCACAGCATGATGAACCTTGAAAACATTCTGCTAAGTGAAAGAAGCCAGACACAAGAGGTCACATGTTGCATTACTCCACTTACATGAAACATCCAGGATAGACAAATCTGTAGAGACAGACAGTAGATGAGTAGTTACTGGGAGTAAGTGAAAAGGGGAATAAGGAGTTATTGCTTGTGAGTAAGGGGTTTCTTTTTGGGGAGATGAAAATATACAGAATTAGATAATGGCAATGGTTACACATGTCTGTTAATATATTCAAACCTTCTGAAGTGTACATTTTTTAATGGTGAATTGTGTAGTAGGTGGATTATGTCTCAATTAAAAACAAAAAAAAAGGAACAGCCCTAATTTTCAGATTGTCCCCAACTTTGTGGTGCGATGGTCTGCGGAGCCAGCCCTGAGGGGCTGCAATCCTCCCACTTCTCCGTTCAGCCTGTCAGATGCTGCTCCTCTGCAAGGTTCCGCCCAACACTCTCTCACCCCTCCATAGCCCACCCTTGCCCACCCCTGCCCACCATGGGGAAGGTGGGACTTTCCTCTGATTTCTTGCAGGGGAGCCTTTCCTTGAGAAGTGTAGTGGTTTAAGCCAAAAGCATTCTGGGACATTGGGTTCATCATGCTTTTCTTTCTACCTTTGTATACATTTGAAACTTTCCATAATAACAGCAAGAAGGACTCTCCCCTCCAGCCTGCCCGGCACCCAAGCAGCTTGTGTATATCTTCACAGGTAAATTTATACTCATGCTTGACCTACATGAATAAGAATTCCCTCTCCTGGAATATAGACCCACGCTGCCCTTTTCCTGGCTTGGTGATAACAGGAGAATAGAATAGAGCCTATGCCTTCTCTTCTCTAATGATCCTTGGCTTATAAGTTTTTCCCAAGAGACCATTCCTTTTTTATTTTTATTTTTTTAAAGGCAAGTGAGTTGCCTTTGCATATCCTTTGCCCATTTTTCCCATGGGATTATTTTTCTTATTGATTTATAGGAGCTATTTGTATATTCTGGATATTGATCTTTTGTTGGAACTGCAAACATTTTTTTCCCTGTGTGAGGCTTATCTTTAATTTTTAACCATATTTCTAGTGATATCTTTAAAATGCTCTGATCTTCCGTTACTGTTCTTGCTATTTGTTCATTTAAGGCAGGGTCCAGTGTAAGAGCCCATTACACTGTGCTTCCTGAAAAATCTCCTGGTGGTAAAGGAGGCCCAAGCTTGTCTTGCCTCCTTGCCTTTTCCAGAAGGTGGATTTCATTTCATTCTTCCAGCTCTTTATTATTATTATTATTATTATTTTGAGATGGAGTCTCCCTACGTCACCCAGGCTGGAGTTTGATGGTGCAGTCCCAGCTCGCTGCAACCTCTACCTCCTGGGTTCAAGTGATTCTCCTGACTCAGCCTCCCAAGTAGCCGGGATTACAGGTGCCTGCCACCACACCTGGCTAATTTTTGTATTTTTAGTAAAGACCGGGTCTCCCCATGTTGGCCAGACTGGTCTCGAACTCCTGGCCTCATGATCCTCCTGCCTCAGCCTCCCAAAGTGCTGGGATTACAGGCATGAGCCACCGCGCCCGGCCCTTCTAGCTCTTATTGGTACCACAGTGCAATGGTGTTAAGGGGGCAATCAGGGGCAAGACGATGACTGCGTTAAGTCAATGCAAGAACTTGGCCTTCAATTCCAAGTAAGATAAGGAGCCACAGGCAGGGCATTGAGCAGAGGAGTAGCTAAGGCAATTGTCTCGGCTAGAGATGGCAGTGGCTTGGATTGGGGTGATAGAGGTGGAGGCGGTGAGGAGTGGTCAGACTGGGGGTGCATGTTGAAGATGGGGCCAATAGGGCTTGCCAGTGGATTAGAGCGGCAGCGTGAGAGAAACGAGACAAGGATGTCCCAAGGTGTTTGGCCTACGTCACTGTGGCTACTTTTGCTCAAAAAGTAATCAAATATTTAAATTGGGCTAAAATGTAAGTCGGCTCCACAAATACAGAGACCATCTCTGTTTTGTGACTGCTGATCCCCAAGACCGACCACAGTGCCAGGTACATATGCACTCAGTAAATATTTGTGGATTGCTAAATAACAGTCTCTTGTACACATGGGTGGCGTCAGTAGTACAGGCTTCAAGCACAGCAGAGACACAATGTATTTCCACACCCTTCAACACCCATCTCAGCTGTCCCGACTTCTCACTCCTCTCCATTCCCCTCCATTGTCCTCTCACCCTACCAAGAGCACCAAGTCCCCCGCTGTATCCCCATGCTCCTTCCTCCTCCATCCTTCTCAAGGAGCAGGAAGATGGAGTGACAGGCAGGGGGACCTGAAGGGCTTGAGAGCTTTCTCTCCACTCATTTCAGTCCCGTGGTTCTCGTGCCAAGGCTTTTAGCAACTCTGCTCGCTATCTGCATTAGCCACAAGAGGAGCAGATGGGAACGAAAGCAGGATGAGAGGCTCTTGTTCTTTCTTCCTTTCTAGAAGGTACTAGCACGGCTCTTCTCACCTTGACATTCAGCAGCAGACATTCATTAGCCTAAATGTTACAGCACCACCGCCACCGCCCCCATCATCGTCAGTCATCACCAGTCTGTTAATCTAAACAATTGCCATCACCGTTCAGTCAATGCTGACCGTGTGCCACATGCTACTCATTTCACCTATGTTATTGAATTTCATCTGTGAGGACTCTGGGACGTAGGTATTATCATCCCCATTTTACAGATACACAAACTGAGACGGTTTCACTTGACCCTTTTATAGATCCCCTACCACACTTTTGCTTTGCAAGGCTCACTTCCTCATACGAAATCCTTTATTGCTGTTTGAAAAACATGCTCAGTTTCTGCTTGCAGTTCCTCAGCCTTCAGATTTCAGATCTAAATTTTTTAGAGTCAGGCATGGTCTCACTGCAGTGCCCGGGCTGGAGTATAGCGGCTACTCACAGGCATGATCACAGCAGGCTGCAGCCCTGAACTCCACCGCTTGAAGACACACCTCCCCTCATGCCCTCGACTAAATGCTCACTGCCCCAGGAGGGGCCTTTCTTTATCTTTGGTGACCCTGAAGCCTCCAGTCTTCCTCAGATATTCTCTTCCCACTGCCTCTGGCATCTGTTTGTGCTCAGGCAAGGGGATGAGGATTGTTCTGCTTGATTTGGGGGCAAAGAATACCTTGTGGATTTGAGCTCAGAGGAACATGGCAGCAGCTGTTTGCTTTTTTACCTATTCCTTGCCAAAAATCTCTCTTTGTCTCTCTGTCTCCCTCACACACACACGTCCACCCACTCCCAAACACACACACAGCTTTCTCTTGGCTGGAAAATGTTTTGAGGCCACGTTGTTCTGTTCATCTGGCAGAGAAAGGCATGGGTTTCAGTATCAAGCTGACTTCGGTTCAAACACGCTGTACTTGCGCTAGGTCACCATGCCCAAGAAGCACGAGTCAGGGCTAAAATCTACTCGCTGGCTCAGCCAAGCACTGAGAGCTGGCCCAGGGCTGCATTAGCCAGGGAGGGAGTACCTTTTCCCAGCTGGTCTGCCCGGAAGACTTGCCTTTTTGCCGTGCACCCACTCAGAGGGGGGATCTTTCCCTAATGCACACAAAGGTGCTTTATATGAGGGGCAAGCATGATTGAAAGCCCATTTTGCCTCATGCTCATAGTACTACTTCAGACAGGTGGCTGTATATATTTATTTCTTCAGTCAATAATTTGAGAACCCTGACTCTGCTGCAGGCACCGCGCCAAGTGTGGCAGGACCAGTGTGACAAAGTCACGACTCGTGCCTTAGAGAAGCCTGTAGTCTAGTTGAGAGATACTCACCAACAGTTGGGTGGGCACTTCACCTAGCACTCCCAGAATGCAAGCTATAGACGGTGCTGAAGGAATGGTGGGAACGGTGTTCCAGGCAGCAGGAACCGCACAGGAAAAGGCAGCGAGATGCAAACCAGCATAGTATTGGCAGAGAACAAAGCACAGTTAGGATTCCTGAAGCACAGAGGGTCAGGTGGGCACAGCAGAAGAAAGGGTGAGCGCCTCTGAGCCTCATTTTTCTCATCTCTGAATCAAGGATGACTGTCACCTCCATCGTGCTGGACCTGAATTCAATGCATCATTGCTTCTGCGCCCAGGTAGTTTTGAAACTGTCACCCAAGCCGGAGTGCAGTGGCGTGATCTCAGCTCACCGCAACCTTTGCCTCCTGGGCTCAGGCGATTCTCCTGCCTTAGCCTCCCGAGTAGCTGGGACCACAGGCGTGTACCACCATGCCTAGCTAATTTTTGGATTTTTTTTTCAGTAGGGATGGGGTTTCGCCATGTTGTCCAGGCTGGTCTCAAACTTCTGAGCTTGGGCAATCACCTGCCTCGGCCTCTCAAATGCTGGGATTACAGGAGTGAGCCACTGCGCCCAGCCCTAGTTTTGAAACTTCTCAAAGGCAGGTGCCATGTCTACAGCTATACCCTGATAGCACACTGTCTGCAGACATACCCTTCCCTCATGCCCTGGACTAAATGCTCACTGCCCCAGGACGGTCCTTTCTTTATCTTTGGTGACTCTGTAGCCTTCAGTCTTTTTCAGATACCCTCTTTGCACTGCCTCCGGCACCTGTTCATGCTCAGGGAAGGGGATGAGTATCCGACACTGTGCTGAACCTAACACTTGTGTTAAATAAGTAGTTTCTGATTGTCTAGTGCTAGCACATATTAGAGATCTAATAAGTATTTGTTGAATGAATGAAACAAGCCATTCCTGAAGCCTGGTCCTCCCCTCCTCGGCCTGCCTGAGATACAGGGATGGAGGAGGGTCTTCAGAGAGGAGCAGGAAGGACAAAGCACATTAAAAACTTCTTTCCAGAGGGAGCAGCTGCTTGGACCATAGAGCAAAGCCCAGTGTAGCATTTACCTTAAACTGGGGACCTCTGGGTTGCCTTAGGGCTTCCACTGTCTGCTTTCTGCTCTCAGGGGCACGACAGGGGAGCGTGGCTGAGGTGTGAGTGGCCAGGGTGGGGGTGCAGGCAGAGCTCCAGTCCCAGGAAATGGCTGCTTATGTCACTCCCTGGGAGTGCAAGGAAGAGGCTGGGGACTGAAGAGGCAGAGCTGAGGGAACATAAGAAAATCTTAGCTGCAGGGAAAAGCGCTCTTCTTTCCAATGATGGCAATGAAATTAGAGGTAATTGTGAGACACAGAGATTCGATAAAACCTAGGGAGGCAATCAGGTAAGGGGGGCTGGGACTGGCTCGGGAGATGGAACGGCTGTTCCTCCCCTCCAGCGCCGCTGATAATAGCCCGTGTTGTGGGAATTGAACAAACAGTCCTTCCTGGCCCCAAATGGCACTGCCCTATAACGGGGGCAGCTGGAGCAGCCAGACGAGTAGGGGTAGCCTGACCACGGACAAGACCTAAGCTTTCCCCCAAGACAACACCCTACTCCTGGGGTCTGCAAGCCCAAGAATGGTGAAGCTTGGACCTGCTGTAAGGGCAGAAGGCTAATGGGCGTGGCTGCTGTAGGACTGACTTCCCTTTCACCTGCAGGCCACAGGCCACCAGAGGCCCTGGGGGGAGCTAGGGCATTCCCTCCTTCCCTGTCCCCCATGTCCTCCCTTTCACCATGAAACAGAATGAAATGTGGAAAGTGCTGGGTAGGAAGCACAGGGCCACGTGGATGCATACCGCAGGCGACAGCCCAGCCCAGCTGTTCCTCAGTTAGGGGAAGTCTTTAAGAAGGGGTCTTGAATGGGGCCTGATGCACGGCAGTGGGGAGAGGAGTCGGTAGGAAAGGATGACAGCTGAGAAAGCACGAGCACCTTCTGGAGGATGTGTTGCACTTCAGTGGTGTGTTTTTCTTTCCGTTCTATTTTTTTTTAAATGTCTTACTCTAATCTCATGACAGATTAGGGAGGCAGGTTTTGAAGAAGGTTGCTGATGAGACAGAAAAACGACGTGGGGAGACACGGGGCAAAGAGTGACCAGGATGAATCAACACGATGGCTTTGGGAACTGGGGATCCTTGGCTCCACCTGGTTGGCCCTGACCATGGGAGCCCTGGGCCTGGAGCTGCCCTTGTCCTGCTGGGAGGTCTTGTGGCCACTGCCTGCCTACTTGCTGGTTTCCTCCAGCGGCTATGACTTGGGCACTGTGGGCTATGCCATGGCCACATGGCGTGATTGCGAGGACACCATACGTGAGCTGCAGAATCAGAACCGGAGCCCGGAGCTGACTCACCTCGAAAACATCCTGCCTTTATTCCTGCCCAGACAGCCCTCCCTCCCATTCCCCATTAAAGAGCAAGTTTATTATCTAATAGAGAGAGAGAAGAAAAGAAAGAAGGCCATGCACTGGCTCATGCCTTTAATCCCAGCACTTTGTGGGGCCAAGGTGGGTGGATCACCGGAGGTCAGGAATGTCAGACCAGCCTGGCCAACATGGCGAAACCCCATCTCTACTAAAACAATACAAAATTAGCTGGGCTTGGTGGCGTGCACCTGTAATCCCAGCCACTCCGGAGGCTGAAGCAGGAGAATTGCTTGAACTCGGGAGGCGGAGGTTGCAGTGAGCCAAGATCACACCCCTGCACTCCAGCCTGGGCAACAAGAGTGAAACTCCATATCAAAAAAAAAAAAAAAAAAAGCAACGTGGGGGAAGGACTATTACCCTGACAGGAATTTAGTGACAATGCTTAGGGGAATAGAACCATCCATACCAAAATGCCATCGCCACCAACATGTCCCACAACCTGGAATAGCTCAGAAACTCCACAAAGGCCCTCGGGGGACATTAAGCAGCTGCTAAAGCCAGTGGCGACGAAAACTAAGGCATGACATTTTATGCTGATGATGAAATAAGTGTGAGAGTAGAACCCGAACTGGACAGGCATCAAAAGAACAGGACCGTGTCCTTTGCAGGAACATGGATGGAGCTAGAGGCCATTATCTTCAGCAAACGGACGCAGGAACAGAAAAACAACTGCATGTTCCCATTTACTTATAAGTGGGAGCTGAATAATGAGAGCCGATGGGCACAAAGAGGAAAACAGCAGACACTTGGGTCTACTGAAGCAGGCAGAGTGGGAGGAGGGAGGGGATCAGGAAAAATACTATCAGATACTATGCTTAGTGCCTGGGAGACGGAATAATCTATACAATCATCCCCTGCGACACGAGTTCACCTATATAACAAACCTGCACATGTACCCCTGAACCTAAAAGAACAGTTTAAAACAAAAATAAAAATCAATCAATGAATAAAATGTGTCAACAAGAACATATGGGAAGAACCATGCCCAAAATGAAATAGTACAAAATGGTTGTGCTTGGAAAAGGGATTGTGGCTGATGTTTCTTTTGTAGCTTGTTTAAACAAATTGTTTTTTTCTTTCTTTCTTTTTCTTTTTTTTTTTTTTTTTTCTTTTTGGGACAGTCTCATTCTGTCGCCCAGGCTGGAGTGCAGTGGCAAGATCTCACTGCAACCTCTGCCTCCTGGGTTCAAGCAAAATTAGCCGGGTGTGGTGGCGCGTGCCTGTAGTCCCAGCTACTCAGGAGATTGAGGCAGGAGAATGGCTTGAACCCAGGAGGCAGAGGTTGCAGTGAGCCGAGACTGTTGCCACTGCACTCCAGCCTGGGTGAGAGAGCGAGACTCCGTCCCCAAAATAAATCAATAAATATTAGAAATTTTAAAGTGGCCGGGCACAGTGGCTCACACCTATAATCCCAGCATTTTGGGAGGCTGAGGTGGGTGGATCATGAGGTCAGTAGTTTTGAGACCAGCCTGACCAACATGGTGATACCCCGTCTCTACGGGAAAAATACAAAAATTGGAAGGGCATGGTGGCACACGCCTGTAATCCCAGCTACTCAGGAGACTGAGGTAGGAGAATCTCTTGAACCCAAGAAGTGGAGGTTGCAGAAAGCCGAGTCGCACCATTGCACTCCAGCCTGGGTGACAGAGCAAGACTCTGTCTCCAAAAAAAAAATTTTTTTTTTAATGTAAAATTTAAAACACAAATAACAACAAAAAATGGTAGGTTTAGAAAAATGTTTTCAAGCTGCTTGTTATTTCCCTTCTCCCTCAAAACAAGGTCATTCATGGACGCTGTCTCAGTGAGGACAAATTATGTTGCCTTCATTCTGCAGCTCGGAGACATTGTGTTCTGCTAAACTCAATCCAGCTCAGTAAGTCCTTTATATGAACATCTTCCGTGCAAAGGTCACCTGGCTAGGTGCTGGAGCTGCGGGGTGAGGGGAGGAGACCAAGCAAGAACAAGGGGAGTCCTTGTTCAGTTTGACTGGAGCATAAGGATGAGGAAGGGAATTAGGTTAGAAAGAAAAATGTGGGACTCTTAGGAGAGTCTCTACGCTAGCATTAGGCATGGAGCTTGGCCGCCTCGTCTATGGGTGAGGCCACCCAGATTTACTCGTCTTTCTTCCACCCCACTGAGCATCTCCGATGACACAAAACTAAAATGCCGGAGGCCGGGGTCCCGCACATGAGGCCAGAGCCGTCCGAGTGTGGGTGCCTGGGAATGCCGGTGCCATTCAGTGTGATCGCTGTAAGCTCAATCACCCGGCAGCTCCCAGGAATCTGTCCACGTGGCCAGCCAGCAGGGTGACTTGCCAGAGTCCATTCCCCTGCCAGTCTATACATGGCAAGCTTGGGAGACGGGCACCCAAGGTCCTTCTAGGGAGCTGGCCAGCAGCCTCTGCCAGAAAGCTGGCATGACAGGGGCAGAGGGATAGTCAGCTGCTGCAAACCACTTGATGCCCTCTCACCAACATGGGGCATGTTGAAGAGGAGGGAGGAGGGAAAAGGGCAGTGGGACGCCTTCCCCTGCCAACTTCACAAATCATTACTGTCTGCTGGATGCTGGGCCCCACGGTGCATCTGATAAGGTTGTTAAGTCAGCCAGAACACCTGCCTGGCCATCTGGCACTTTTGCCCTCCTAACCGGGCCACCCAGGCCTCTTTGCCCACCTCCTCAAAGGCAGTGGGCTGCAGAGGTCCCAGAACACCTGCTAGGGAGAATGAGTGTCCCCCCTACCCCGACCCCAAGCCCCAGATGCTTCCAGGCAGCATTCTGGGTCCTCAGGTAACACTTCAGAAATCCCTCTTTACTTTGTTGAGAGATGGTTCTCCAGCAGCAGTGTAGCAGGGGTGGGGACCCCCGCTACGGCTCCCTGGAGTTTGATTCTCACCTGGCTGAGATTACGGAGCAACGTAGTGGTGAGGCTGGAACAGGGAGAGTTTAACCACAGCTTTTTCTTCTCTTCATATCAGACTAAATTGGAGCAGCAGCCCAGGGCTCATTAATCATCTCAAATGCTGGGCTTCAGAATCTTATCTCCCGTACAATCACCTCATCCCCTCGTCTGGGCTCTGGAAACCATAGCGTTTGAGGAGACAGCACAGTACCTATGTTAGCAGATCTCGTTAGGTGCTATCTGGCAGCACGTGGCCCATTAATGTATATGTTTAGCTGTTTCAAATGAGCTCTGATTTGTGTTAACAAAAACACAGTTGGGCTGCTGGAAATGTTCTATATCCTGACCCGGATGATGGTTATACATTTATAAAAAAGCATCAGGCTCTACACTTAAGTGCCCTTTATCCATGTTCTCTCTCACTCGCTCTCTCGCTTTCTCTTCTTTATCCTTCTATTTATAAGTTTAAAAGAAAAATATGCTGGGTACGATGGCTCATGCCTTTAATCCCAGCACTTCGGGAGGTCAAGGTGGTGGATTTCCTGAGGACAGGAGTTCGAGACCAGCCTGGCCAACATGGTGAAACCCTGTCTCTACTAAAAATACAAAAAATTAGCTAGACATGGAGGCACATGCCTGTAATCCCAGCTACTTGGGAGGCTGAGACAGGAGAATTGCTTGTACCCAGAAGGCAGAGGTTGCAGTGAGCCAAGATCGTGCCATTGCACTCCAGCTTGGGCAACAGAGTGAGACTCTATCTCAAAAAAAAAAAAAAAAAAAGAAAGAAAAGAAAAGAAAAAAAGAAAAATCTATTCTTTAAAAACAAAATGCACAATTGAATAACACTAAACTCTCAGGAGTAGCGACACTACCCTTGCAACCAAGGGGCCCAGGCTGTGTGTGGCTAGATCTCTGGCTGCTCAGGGCAAGGCAGCAGCAAGGTGGAAAAGACGAGCAATTTGAAGGAAGGCACATCTGTATTTGCATCTTAGCCCTGCCACTTTCTATGTCACTCTGGGCAAGTCATTTGGCCTTTCTGCTCCCCAGCTCCCTCACCTGCAAAGTGGGGATGATGTTGCCTGTCTCACGGGCTGTTGCGATGATTAAAGATGATTAAATGACAACACCTGGCACAGCGAAGACACCAAATATCAGCGCTCATCACCATGGAATACACTTATTGATCAACTTACCACCTATGCAACTTATGACCACAGTCGCTAGCCACGACTGCTCCACGTCTGGCAGCACAAACGTTGCCCAGCTGTGTGTACGGCAGTGCGGACCAGTTTCCGGCAGCACTACCATCTCCGTGTGCACCATTTCAACTGTACATATAGCCTACTCAACTTACGACCAAATCGTGTTACGACCGGTCCGCGGTCCCGACCGTGGTCGTAAGTCGAGCACTGGCTGTAGCTGGCTTCCCCTGTCCTCACCTTGCCCTGAAATAAACTTTGATGTTGCTGAAATAAACTTTGATGTTGCTTGGCACCCAGGCCTCTCCCTCCACCTCCTCTCACCCACCCCAGGATTCCACTCCTCGTTTCTTTTTTTTTTTTTTCTTTTGAGACTGAGTCTTGCTCTGTCGCCCAGGCTGGAATACAGTGGTGCAATCTCGGCTCACTGCAACCTCTCCCTCCTGGGTTCAAGCAATATCTCCTGTCTCAGCCTCCCGAGTAGCTGGGATTACAGGCACGCGCAGATTGCCCAGCTAATTTTTTGTATTTTTAGTAGAGACGGGTTTTCACCATGTTGGCCAGGCTGGTCTCAAACTCCTGACCCCAGGTGGTTCACCCACCTCAGCCTCCTATAGTGCTAGGATTATAGACGTGAGCTATAATCCGCCCCCTGCTCTTCATTTCAACTGCAGAAGTCCTGCTTATTTGCCTTTGCCTGTCCCAGGCAGGTACTGCCACCCACAGCAGCAAGGGTACATCACCCCTTTCTACCCTCAATCCATTGAGATCATCCCAACCCTGACTCTGTGTGCCCCTCATCAACAGCATGGCTCCAACCCTACCTGTCGACTCAGGAGACACTGGGTTGGAATTCCTGTGATGCGTGCAAAGGACATCAACAGCCTCTCAACACTTGCCAGTGGGGGCCAGGGAGTGGTGATCCCTTGGAGCACAGGGTATGGGTGGGTGCTATGGTCTGAATGTTCGTGTCCTCTTCAAAATGCATATGTTGAAATCTAATTCCCAGTGTGATGGTATTAGGAGGTGAAGCCTTTAGGGGGTGACTCAGTCATGTAGGTGGAGCCCACATGAATGAGAGTAGTGCCCTTATTACGGAGGCCTCAGAGAGCTGTCCTCCACCACTCGAGGACACAGCTAGAGGGTGCCATTTATGAACCAGAAATTGAGCCCTCACCAGACACTGGATCTGCCAACACCTTGACTTTGGACTTCCAGCCTTCAGAACGGTGAGAAATCAGTTTCTGTTATTTATACGCTACCCAGCTTACGGTGTTTTGTTCTAGCAGCCTAGACTAAGACAGTGGGGCAGACCCAGTGCTATTTGTGTCCACTCAGGAATGCAGGCCAATCCAAGGCGAGCCTGTCTGTGCTGGGTGGACACATCAAAGGCATTAGACTCAGCCCTGCACACCCTTTTCCAGCACGCATGCCTGTACTGCAGTGAATTTACTTTCCTTTATGAACCAGCTGTATTTTCAAAACCACTCCCTGATGAGCCCACGTTTGCTTCCTTCTCGTGCCAACTAGAAGCAGTCTAATCCCTTTTCCATACTCTCAGACTCCAAATATTTGAAGATAATCATGTCCCTCATCCTTGAAGGGAGACTCGTGCAGGTGAAAGATCCCCTGTTCTTTCAAGGGTAGCTCAGACATCAGCCTAAACAGCACCCCCATGCTGTGGGCCCTGCACCATTTTCATCATGGAGGCAGTAAGAGATGAAATGACGATTTTGTCAGTGGGCGATTTTCAGACACAGGCCCTTGGGAAAGCATGGCTTTTATGACACCGGCTCCCAAGTGCCCATAACAGGCCCTCCTCTGTGTGCTTCACACCCTTTTACCAACCCCCACTCCCCTCTCTGATCGATTCCTGGTTCACACTAATTAGGCCTTGCTTAGACTGTGGCAGGAACAAGAGCTTTGCCATTTTCTTTAAGGAAACCATGTGAGAGGCTGACCTGCTGGTGGTTGCCAGGCAACACTGATGATCCTACAGGAGAGACAAACTTGAGAGTCACAGGGCCAGGGAGCCTAGTTAGCAGCTATTGAATATGATCTCTGCTGTGCGGAGAGGTGCCAGAAAGTTCTAGTCAGCCGTCCTTTTAAAGGGAGTGCGTGTGTGTGCATTCGTGTGTGTGTGTGTGTGTGTGTGTTGAAGGGGCATACTCAAAGGGAGCTGGGAAAGAATAAAGTAGTGTTATTCTTTCAGGTAGAATAATAAGAACACACACAGTGGCTGGAAAATATATTGCAATATTCTATTTTACCTGTTCGCCTGCAGTTTTCCCTCCTGCCCCCTCAATTCTAGTCACTGGGGACAGAATTTGCCCCTCCTCACCTTGGAACAAGCCAGAAAGCAGAAGCAGTCAGTAGGCAAGGCCCTTCCCCTCTTTTATAAAATGTTAAGCCACAGAACAAGGAATTATGTGAGGAGTCTTCGAAGGTGGAGCAAAAGACGTGTGAAGTTGGAGAAGCAGGATTTTCTGGGACCTGGGAAAGAGACAGAGGTCTGTGGGTGTCCACTGCTCAAAGAGCTGGGCACTGTGCCCATCAGTGCCCCTAAGGAGATGGTGAGATGTCAGATGGGTCTAGGCACCCAGGCTCCCAACCTCACCAAGGGTTCCTTATCCCACACATGACTCAGAGTCCCCTGGTGAGAAGGAACTATGCAGATGGCAGAGTGCTCAGTCCAGGGAAGCCTGTGGAACTGGGCAGCTACAGAGGGGCCAGACCGGTAGGTTGGCATCTGAAACAACCCAGAATCTTTGCACAGTCCTGATGGCTGGGAGAGAAAACAACTTAGATAGCACTTCCTTCACATGGAGGCAAAACAGGGACACAGAGCGGCATGGCTTTGGTGTAGAGCAGCTCAAACTTTTTAGGTGGACACTTGGCTAGTCTCCACCACACCTGCAATGTCACCTCCCAATAGCTTCATTTGTGTTAAGAGGTAACATTTATTGCACTTACCATGTGCCACAGTGTTCTAAGAACTTGACATTATACTCTAACAACACAGGAGAGTGTCTGCTTCTCCTGCACATTTACCATTACAGAGTTGTTTTTTTTTTTTTTTTTTTTTTTAGTCTCACTTTGTTGCCCAAGCTGGAGTGCAATGGCAGGATCTCAGCTCACTGCAACCTCTGCCTCCTGGGTTCAAGCGATTCTCCTGCCTCAGCCTCCTGAGCTGTTGGGATTACAGGTGTCTACCACCATGCCCGGCTAATTTTTGTATTTTTAGTAGAGATGCAGTTTCACCATGTTGATCAGGCTGGTCTCGAACTCCTGACCTCATGATCCGCCCACCTCGCCCTCCCAAAGTGCTGGGATTATAGGCATGAGCCACCGCGCCCAGGCTCAGACTATTTTCAATCTTTAAAAATGTGGCCAATCAACTGTTGTGAGAAACGGCATCTCATTGTTCTTTTAATGTACATAGCACCGAGTAATAATTTTTCATGTGTATTTCCGTATCATTTGCATTTTAACAATGAGAATGAATTCATGTATTAACGTCTATATAAAATTAAAGTATATTAAAATAATGGGTCCATATGGCTTAAGAATACGGCTTTGAAATATGTAAAGCAAAAATCAATAGAAAAATAAAATGAAATTAATAAATTAACATAGTAGAAGATTTTTTTACCATGTATATCAATCAAGTACGAAAAAATAGTAAAGATTGGATAACACAATTAAACTTAATCATATACAAATATATACTGCAATTGCATTATATGTGTACAAGCACATATAAATATGTATATGTATACACATACAACATACTTCCACCATATGAGCACACAGTGAGAAGGCACCATCTATTCACTAGGAAAAGAGCCTTCACCAGACTCTGGATTTATCGCCACCTTGATTTTGGACTTCCAGCCTCTAGAACTATGAGAAATAGATTTCTGTTGTTTAAGCTACCTAGTTTATAGTATATTTTAATAATAGCAGCCTAAATGGGCCAAGACATAGACACACAAAACCACACACAGATTCATGAAAACTACATGAATACACACGAACAATATCAGAGAACACTCTGAAAAAGTTCATTCTGCCATAGGCGACAAAGAAAAACTTGATAAATTATAAAAATCAAAAGTCATAAAGAGCTACAATCTCTGAATGCAGTGAAATAATATTTAGGATTAGTAATCATTTTAAAAGGATAACCAAATTATTATCTGCTTAGAAAAATGAAATATTCTCCTAAATAACTATTAGGTTAAGAGAAAATTTAAAGATAAAAATACAATTATTTAGAAATGAAAGACAGTCATCTTTTTTGGTTTTCCTAGAGAAAAAGAAATGAAAGGCAATCAATTGGTTTGAAGATTTAAATGTAAACCAAAAGCTAGGTAAATGATAGGTAGTTAAAAAATAATCTTGGCATAGGAAAAGCCTTACTAAATATGACACAAACCTCAAAAACCTCAAACAACTAATATATTCAACCACCTAGGAATTTTTTTTTTTTTAATGTGGCAAAAACCACCATGGGTAAAGGCAAATGATAAACTAGGAAAGGCCGAGGCACAGTGCCTCACACCTGTAATCCCAGCACTTTGGGAGGCTGAGGCAGGAAGATCACTTGAGGTCAGGAGTTCGAGACCAGCCTGATCAACATGGTAAAACCCCGTCTCTACTAAACACAGAAAAATTAGCTGGGCGTGGTGGCGGGCAAATGTAATCCCAGCTACTTGGGAGGCTGAGGCAGGAAACTCGCTTGAACCCAGGAGGCAGAGGGTTGCAGTGAGCCAAGATATCGTCACTGCACTCCAACCTAGGTAACAGAGCAGGGCTCTATCTCAAAAAAAAAAAAAAGATAAACTAGAAAAAAATATTCACAACTTATATCACAGACAATAGACTAACTTCCTAATATATAAGAGCTCCTATAAATCAATAAGAATATAGACTACCAACCCAAGAGATAAATGGCCAAAGGATATGAATAGAGAGTTCACAGAAAAGAGAATTTATGGCAATGGCTGTTGGCTGAGTGTGGTCACTCACGCCTATAATCCCAGCACACTGTGAGGCCAAGATGAGAGGATTCCTTGAGCCCAGGAGTCTGAGAACAATCTGAGCAATATGGTGAAACCCCATCTCTGTAAAAAAACTATATCAAAAACCACAGGGGCACAGACCTGGAGTCCCAGCGACCCAGGAGACTGAGGCAGGAGAATGTCTTGAACTCAGGGGTTTGAGACTGCAGTGAGCTGTGATCTCACCACTGCACTCCAGCTTGGGGGACAGAGCAAGAACCTGTCTCTCAAAAAAGAAATGGCCCTTAAAACATGACATGATATTCTATTGCTCTTATAATAAAATTAATTGTAAAATAAAACTCACTGAGCTATTGAGTGAAAGAAGAGGACACATGGATGATTATCGTCATATAAAGTTTGGAAATAAGCCAAATTAATTGAAGGAGTTAAAGGTTAGGTGAGTGGTTTTCTTGAGGGGCAGGGAGTGGGCGGATAAGGGAAGACTTCTGGATTCTGGTAAATTCTATTTCTTGATCTGGGTGCTGTTACACAGATTAATTCACTTTGTGAAAATGAATGGAGCTGTCCGTATTTCTTTATGTCATATGTCAATAAAAATTACTTGAATATGCTACACTGAGATATCATTTTTCACTGATTAGGTTGGCAAAGAGCAAATCATTTTATGGTGCATTATGTAAATAAGGGGAAAAGGCTTTCCTCATGTATTACTGATGAGAGCGCAGATTAATAAAGCCTCAGTAAGGAGATGACATCAACATCTGTGGAAATCACTAATGCACCTACCTTCTGGCCACATTTTCACCTCCAGGAACGTACCCCACAATAATACTTGCACCTTTATGATGGCATAATGCATTGCCATGTCATTGAGAGACAAAACAATGGAAAGCTAATTAAATATCCATCAACCGGGGACTAATTAAATAGTGAGTGCAGTGGCTCATGCCTGTAATTAATCCCAGCACTTTAGGAGGCCAAGGTGGGAGGATCACTTGAGCCCAGGAGTTCAAGACCAGCCTGAGCAATATAGTGAGACCCCCGTCTCTATTTCTAAAAAAAAAAAAAAAAAAAGTCCCGTGGTTATGTAAAGAGTTGGCATTAGGGGAAACTGGGAAACACACAATTCTTTCTACTATTCTTGCAACTTTTCTGTAACTGTAACATTATTTAAGAATAAAAAGCAAAAGAGATTGGACGTGGAAGCTCACACCTGTATTCCCAGCACTGTGGCATGCCAAGGCAGGCAGATCACCGGAGGTCAGGAGTTCAAGACTAGTCTGGCCAACATGGTTAAATCCTGTTTCTACTAAAAATACAAAACCTAGCCAGGCATGGTGGCAGGTGCCTATAATCCCAGTGACTCGGGAGACTGAGACAGGAGAATCACTTGAACCCAGGAGGCGGAGGTTGCAATGAGCCAAGATCAAGCCACTGCACTCCAGCCTGGGCAACTTCATCTCAAGAAGTAAAAATAAATATAAATTCATTCGGTATCCAGCAAACATGTATCAGTGCATCCTGTGTGCCAGGCACTATGTGCTGAGAACATGACATTGAACAAAACATAAATCCCTGATGTCATGTGGCTTCAGTCCAGTTAGGAACACAGACAAGTAAACAGGGAAATGAAGCACCATGTGACCCATGTTGAGGAAAATCCCACAGTGCTTTGGAAATATATGACAGGAAGACCAAACTCGGACACAGAGGTGAGGGAGGGCAAAACCATCCCACCAAAGGCCTTTCCATTTGAGCTTCAACAGTTCTCCATTCCAAGGGTGGGAAAAGGGAATGGAGCTTGGGAAAGAAATAAAGAAGCCAAATCTTTGTGAGATGTGAGGCCCAAAGCACTTTCCTCTAGAGAGCTAGATCCAAGAACATTTCTGGTTGGGGCAGACATGATGTCAGGGCAGATTGGCTGTCTGGAGGCAGGTCCAATAGAGACTGTAATGGTGTGAGGCTTTATGAGTAGGGAATATACAATTCATCTCTACCAAGAAGAAATTGAAGGGACGGTGGAAAACAGAGCATGTCCCGTGGTTTCCAGGTTGATTACTATTTTCCTCCGCTACACCTCTAAGCACTGTCCTCCACCACTTAACGGACCTGCTTTGGTCTTTCCATCTCTCTACCTACCTCTATATTAGTTCCAAAATTTGGGGATGTGGCACTGCTCCCAGTGAATCTTCCACAGGCAGAAGTCCCCCTGAGCTTTTGCAGGCACAAATCTTCAGCATGTTGCATTAGCCTGGGTATGGGCTTAAAACTCAGAAAATTCTGGTTTGAATTGTCAGGCTGCTGGTATCTAGCCTTGTGCTTTAGACACATTTCCTTACTTCTCCAAGCTTCAGATGCTAGATCAGTAACAATGGGAAAACTGTATGCACCTCATAGAGTGGTTGTGAGGATTCACTGCGATTTATTTAATAAGCATTCATTAAATGCCTATTATGACAATGTGCCAGGCACAGTCAATACTCAATAAATGCTAGTTCCTTCCTAAATTCAAAAGGACTTCCCACACCTGTTAGGCTTCACTTTCTGGGCCCTACCATCAGGTTGGCTTCAAGGCATTTGACTTTTCTAGTTATACAGGGCCCATGCTTAGAAGGGTCCTACATTTGATTTAATGCCCTATTATTGCCATCCTGAAATTCTTAATAATTTTTTAACAAAGAGCCCCATTTTCATTTTATACCAGGCCCCAAAAATCACGTAGCCTGTTTTTCCCATAACTACTCTGATAGTGAGTTATAAAGAACTATTACTTTATAAAGTTGTAAGGGACTATCACTATTAAACAGAGCTGGTACCAATGATATTGGTCAAAATGAATTTAAAAATAAATTAATAAAAAAATTCATAGCCAAGACGGGTTCACTGATGAATTCTACCAGACATTTAAGGAACAACTTATATAAATCCTCTAAAATTTCTCTCAGAAAATACAATCAACAAGAGTACTTCCTAACTCGTTGTATGTGGCCAACATTACGCTAACACCAAAACTGGACATTATAAGAAAGAAAACTACATGCTAATATCTCTTATAAACACAGATGCAAAAATCCTCAACAAATTGTTAACAAACTGAATCCAACAATGTATACAAGAATTATATACCAAGACCAAATGGGATTTATATCAGGTATGTCAGGCTAGTTCAATTCAAAAATCAATTAATATAATCCACTTAACAGGCTAAAGAAGAAAAGTCACACAACCATATCAACAGGTGCAGAAAACACATTTGGCAAAGTCCAACAACTATTTACATTAGCACCCCCGCAATGAAATATTTTGGTAAAACATTTTGATAAAACACTTGGTAAAAACTCTCAGAAAACTAGGAAAACAGGAGAAACTAACTCAACTGATAAAGAACATCTACAGCTTTTCCAGCGGCTCCCGAAGACGGCGGAGGTGCAGGTCCTGGGGCTTGATGGCCGAGGCCATCTCCTGGGCCGCCTGGCAGCCATCGCGGCTGAGCAGGTACTGCTGGGCCGGAAGGCGGTGGTCGTTCGCTGCGAGGGCATCAACATTTCTGGCAATTTCTACAGAAACAAGTTGAAGTACCTGGCTTTCCTCCGCAAGCGGATGAACACCAACCCTTCCCGAGGCCCCTACCACTTCGGGAACCCCACCACTTCCGGGCCCCCACCACTTCGGGAACCCCACCACTTCCGGGCCCCCACCACTTCCGGGCCCCCACCACTTCCGGGCCCCCACCAC